ACGCTTTAAGATGAACAGCTCTGACGAGGATTTTCAGTTTTTTTTTTTTTGTTATGTAATTTTTTGATAAATGCATAGGTTCCCTTCAAGTTAATTAAAAATAATTAAACAAATTATCGTTTTTTTTTTTAATTTTTTGTTATTACCTACCTGATATGAAGCTCGTAGGAAAAATTTTGTTCCTAACACGTGCGCAAAGTGTCTTTTCCGCACGCAAACACGTATCCGAACTTCGCTTCGCGTCGTTCGTATAACTGTGTTTGCGTGCGGAAAAGTAACACTTTGCGCACTTGTTAGGAAAAATAACTATTTCCTACGAGCGTGCGCAAGTAGTACTTTTCCGCACGCCATTTCGGGCTCAAAGTTACACTTTTCCGCACTCAGTGCGGATACAGGCCTTATCCGCACTGAGTGCCGAAAAGTAATTATAATTGTCAAGCAACAATAAAGTGCACCTGTCGACTTTGACACATGATGACAAAATTTTTCCTCTTTTTCTATATCAGCCAACATCTATACAAACACCAATTATAAATTAACTTTGACCCATCATAGTTGGGGAGCTGGCGTCAAAAACATGCAAGAGTTTTCGCAAGGCGGATATTTTCAAAATAGGTCGTACTTTAGTGCTAGAATGCTAGTGTATAGTCAGCACTCACAGTTCCGGGACAGCTGGCTCTGGACGCGGGCAAAGTTGTAATTTTAAGAAGCATCTAAACTGTTTTCTCAAAGCTCAACATTTATAGAAATTTTGCACATTATCTGTTTGAGGTCACAGATAACGTATGTAAATCGTCAGACGTCTAGTTCGTTGCAAAAAGGGGGTCAGACGTCCTCAAAGTTTTTATTTTATGGCATTTTCTTCGGTGTCCTGTCAAAATATATTTTGCAGGTATTTGACAAATATATTTGAAGAAAATGCCATTAAATAAAAACTTTGAGGACGTCTGACCCCCTTTTTGCAACGAACTAGACGTCTGACGATTTACATACGTTATCTGTGACCTTCAAACAGATAATGGGCAAAATTTCTATAAATTTTGAGCTTTGAGAAAACAGTATAGATGCTTCTTAAAATTACATACTTTGCCTGCGTCCCAGAGCCAGCTGTCCCGGAACTGTGAGTGCTGACTGTACACTAGCATTCTAGCACTAAAGTACGACCTATTTTGAAAATATCCGCCTTGCGAAAACTCTTTGCATGTTTTTGGCGCCACCTCCTGGACGATTTGTTCTCTATTTATATGCAAAAATCTATAAACTTTCTCATCAAATTTTAAACGCTTTAAGATGAAACAGCTCTGACGAGGATTTTCTGTTATTTGTTTCTGTTATGTAATTTTTTGATAAATGCATAGGTTCCTTTCAAGTTAATTAAAAATAATTAAACAAATTATCGTTTTTTTTTTTTAATTTTTGTTATTACCTACCTGATATGAAGCTCGTAGGAAAAATGTTGTTCCTAACACGTGCGCAAAGTGTCTTTTCCGCACGCAAACACGTATCCGAACTCCGCTTCGCGTCGTTCGTATAACTGTGTTTGGCGTGCGGGAAAAGTAACACTTTGCGCACTTGTTAGGAAAATAACTATATCCGTATTCCAAAAGTTGGTCTGCATATTGTTGTGTAGATGTGACATGCAGTTTTGATGTTAATACCCTCATTCTTGTATGTTAAGATTCTAAAATGCTTGCTTCTTGTTATTGTTTTTTCTTTATTGTTGACCGGTGATATTTGAAATTTAATTTAATGTCGAAATGAATACCATAAGTATTTGATGTGCCGATTGAGGGGGTATTTGGTGGTTGAGGATATCTAGTTTTGGTGAAGCTTCCCTGATCTTGTGATGAAATAGTATAAATTGTGGCAGTGGCGGCTCGTCAGAAGAGGCAGGGGAGGCTAAGCCTCCCCCAAAAAATTGAAAAGTCAATCTCAGTTTTTTATTCCTGATTCCTAATTAAAATAATAATTCACAAATTACACATTATTTTCAATCAATCCCGCGCGTCCACGACAAAAAATCTGTGAATCTGGGATACTCAGTAATAAGAGCCCGAAGGGCCGGAGTTATACGCGAACTTAAAGGGCCAGAGTAATACGAGCCCGAAGGGCCGGAGTTATACGCGAGCCCGAAGGGCTACAGTTATTTTAATCACGGGGCCCAGTCTATAATTCTATTGGTCAGGGGATAATTCGATAATTTGGAGCCAATCAAAAATCGGGAATATTCAAAATCTGATTTTTAGTCGATATTCCGAGTTTCAGTTCTCTTCGGCGTACCGGACAAAAATTAGCCTCCCCATCTTCCTTGATTTTGAATTTTTTTATCCGAATTTCCAAAAAGAAAAAACATCGGATAGAGCAAAAAAAAACGTTGAAAAGCTTATGGGACCCTGCTTGATATGACACATTTTGAGGCCGGGAAAAAATTAAAAAAGGATACTTCGATTTTCGCCAGATAAAAATTTCGGCGATCTGACACGACGTTACTTTTTCGCTTATACCTCCGCTACTTTTCAACCGATCGTTTCGAGTCATATCTCTTTTGAAAAGGGATAAAATTACCTACAAAATGTTTTTTTATTGAGATGCCAGGCCGTTTTTGTATTTGAGATATTAGCTGTCAAAGTTGAAATTCTTTGTAATTTTGTTAAAATTTTTGAGGTCGATTTTCTCGAAAACGGTGTCCCGTGGTGGGATACTTCGTATAGGATTTTTTGTAGTATTCGACGAGATCTATAAGTTTTATGTTTGAAGTTTTTCTCCCGAGCTTTTGGTTTTCGAGTTAGGACGCTTTGAAAATTGAAAAATAATAAATCGAAGGCCCTTTGAATTTTTTTGTCGAAAAAATTCAAAGTTTGAATTAAAAAAAAAAAAAAAAATTCTATCGGATAGAGGAGCAAAAAATACGACGAATCAAAAAAGGAAATTTCGATTTTGATCAGAAAAAAATTGTGGGTACCCGACACGAGGCCACTTTTTCGCTTATCTTCCAAATATCTGCAAACTCTAATCTGGTCATATTTTTTGCTGTTGATAAATAAAACAGGTGTGTGTATTCTTTTTTTGTGATAGCCAGCATTTTTGTAGAATAATTTACTTTAGTGGATTAGTTTTTTGTGGTGTCGTCTTGAGGTCCGATGATTATATATTTTTGTTGTTGTGTTGGATTTCCTGAACGTTTCCTTGTTTGTCTATTCTCCTCCTCGTCCGACTCCATTGTTCAGATTTAACTACACAAAACAACAGACACCGATAAACGCAAATAAAGAGAGAAGAAAAAAAAACTTTTGTTGTACAGAAGTATTCCGATGTTTACACTTTGAATGCTCGTAGTGTACTTTCTTATAAATTCGTTTATAATGATTAAAATATGCGACAAAAAACTGATTGTTACTGTGGTACCTACTTTCTTATAGAATGCAAGGATCTTAAATTTTTTGCTGAGGTCTTTATACCACAGGTAATCCAAGGTTTTTTATCTTTAACTTTTTAGATATTGTAGAGGAAAAGCCCTGTTACAAGCGCCTGTCAATAAAGCATGAAACTGTTCCACTGGATTCTCCGCACTCAGAACACCATTCCACAATATCCTGTGACAATTTACTTTAAATTTATTATAGTTTTTTTTTACTGAAAATTCTTCCCCGTCTAGTTTTTTAATATTTTGCACCAGAATCCGCAGAACAAGTAAGCAAAACAGCTTTATGATCAGACAATTCAGAAGCAATAGTGCTGCAGTCCAAGATCTTGCTATCTTCAATGTTTGAGCAAAAATAGTCTATCATAGTGGCAGATAACTGCGTAATCCCAGTGGGTGTACAGACTTGCATTTTCAGGTTTAGCGACTTCAAAAAGCGATTAAGCGACTGTGTGGCCAAAGATCCCACATCAGTAAAGTTTATGTTAAGATCTCCCGCTAGAATAATGTTGGAATGAACAGGCAATCCAGTCAAAAGCATTTCAAGACGATCGATAAACACATAAGCTTCACAGCTTGGAGGTCTATAGATACACACTACCTATAGATTAAAAGACTAAAATTATTGAGAATTTAATCCTTTGATTTACCTTTACCTACTACTGAAAAGGTCAAAAGTCTCTCCTCCTTCTTCTGGGTTTTATTAATGGCAAATTGTTTAACTAAAAGAGCCAATCAGAAACTGTGGAAGAAGAAATTTTGATTATTATTATCGGCTCTTGAGCCACGACTGCCCTTAGAACAATTCCTTAGGGAATCCAGAGTTGATAAAAGTTCAAATTTTGACTATTACCGGTTCTTGATTGGCTCTATGAAGGTTTTCCAAAGAATCAAGAGTCGGTAATAGTTCAAATTTTGATTATCTGTGGCTCTTGATCCATTGGACAATGTTTCTCGAGCCAATTAGAAGCTGCGGAAGAAGACATTTTGTTTCATATCAACTTAAGACCTGCTAATGATCATTCGAAATTTTGATTAATATCGGCTCTTGAGCTCTAAATGCCCTTATAAAAATTCTCTTGCGAATCCAGAGTTGATAAAAATTCAAATTTTGACTATAAATTATAAACGGCTCTTGATTGGCTCCGGGAAACTTTTCCAGAAAATCAAGAGCCGGTAATAGTTCAAATTTTGATTATCTATGGCAAAATGGAAAGATCATGTAGTCTATGTTGACTTATAGAATTTCTTTAAAAAAATTTCATTATTTTTAATTCACAAAATGACCTTTCAGCGGTGGCAACTGGAAGAAATGTACCGGTAAAGTATATTGATCAATATTGGTCATTATATTTCTCAATATGCCCGGGCCCCTAAGCATCGTTTATATCCGCTTATGCATATCGCGGCCACTGATTTTGAGTTGGAGTGAATTATTGCTAAAAATCCACATAACATCGTACATTTCATACTGTTTGTGTATGTAGAAACTTCTGATATAATCACAGCCTAGCCCCTGATCCACTTATATTCTTATATGCATCAAGAAATTAAAGGGCAAATCAAAAAATAAGACAAAGTTGGTATAAATAATTATATAATTGCTATTGAAATAGACAACATTAAAAAAATATCATAGTAAAAATATAAATGAAAACTGTATATGAGCAACAGATTTTTTTTAGAGCTATACAATAGAAATAGAAAAATACTGCTTTTACAATATAAAATATTAAATGCAATATCCACACATAGATTTTTTTCACAACAGCTTTACATTTGAAGCTTGAACATCAATTGGCACACAACAGTAGATAAACTGCAGGTTTTAACGAGAGAAATTTCCAGTCCAGGAGTTGTATTTAAAAAATGTTGGTCATATTAGCTTCACAAAATCGATTTATGCTATTACTTCAGGTGGTACCCAACCACCAAAAGCTTTTTCTAATTCTCTAGCAACTGCTATACAAAGTCTATCGTTTTCTTCATTGGAAATCACTTGAATGCCTATAGGGAGCCCGTTTCTGTCTAAACCCATTGGAATATGGGTCGCTGGAAGCTTAAGGACATTTATTATGCCTAAAAAAATATATATAATTATTGTTAAAAACATAAAAATTAAATTATTACCTGTATATGAAAAATTAAAAGGCTTAGCCAGAGGTTGGTTATGGTAAGGTGCTGAGGTAGGATGTGTTGGATACAAAAATACACCGTCTTTGCCTAGCAAATCTGACATTTCAAACCTAAACTGATCTCTTTCGCTAACCAAATATTTATACTTTTCGTCACCATACCTAGTACAATGAAATTTTTTTTTTGGGAAAATAATTCTGAAAAATTCTTACGAGCAGCCACTTTTCTCTACAAGGCAAGTTGCTATAGCCACTAAGGAATGATTTGACTTCCTGACCACCCATTTCACCAATTCCCACCATGGGTTTATTTTACCTTCCAAATTGGTTAATTGTTCAGCGAATGTTGGTCCTGATTCAGACTTCATGTTGGCAAACCATATGGGGCCACTTTTGTTGAATCTTTTCAAGTTTACCTAAAAATCAATTTAAGTTTTTTTTTTTTTGAATTTTTAACTAATAGTTTAAAGTTGTTTGCATTTCCTACTTTATTGGCTTTAATATCGTGTGCTTTCTCTAAATGCTTTGCAACTTTGGCAAATAAAGCTTTTATATCAGGAGCTACTGCTGAAACCATTTTTGAGCCTCCGTCGCTTTCTTGATAATAAAATTTGATTTTCTTCAGATCTACAGGCTCATCTAACCGCAGCCTTGGCGAATTACTCGTTATTACCTATAAAAAATAAAACTAGAATAATGTAATGTAGGTGGGAATTGATAGGAAAATTTATGGATATTCAAAATAAACATAGAAATCACTGAATAATTTCTTACTTTGAGCAAAGGTAAAAGATCTTCAGCTCTACGACACATAGGCCCAATTCTTAAAAACTTCCTTTGCTCGTCGCTGACAGGTTCAGGATATTGTCCGGCCAATGGCACAGTCAAAGGTGTAGGCATATGCCCGAAAATCCCATTGAAAAACGACGGCATCCTAATAGAACCACCAATATCAGAACCAATACCAAAAGCGGAAGCCGCACATGCTTGAGCGCACCCTTCACCTCCGGAGGAGCCTCCTACTATTCTTGTGGTATCATAAGGGTTGTTACTTCTTCCGTGGACATTGTTGGCACTCTCCCACCACATGCACAGTTCTGAGACATTGGTGAGGCCGATGGGGATGGCACCTGCTTTTTTTAAGAGCTCTATTACTGCCGCGTCGGATTCGGCACGGATGTGCTTGCGACAGAAAAGGCCCGAAGAATGGATCAGACCTTAAAGAATAATATGAAGTTTTGTTATTATATTTTATATAAATAAACATTAAGTAACAGGCCTTCCTCCTAATAATATAAAAGTGAAATCATCATTTATGGCAGAAAAAATAAATAGTACGTAATTTGCAACAATTTAAGAAATAAATTTACACTATAATGTGTATAATATAGATTTTATTAATGATAAACTTATTTATTATGTTACGTCTAGGAATTCATATATAATACCAAATCTCAACCACTTCATAATATGATAAAACTTATCAATGGAGCTTTTATGATGTTATCACTATTGAACAATAATAATTATTTATAATAAACAATTTAAATTGTTCAGTAATTACTTAATTAATACGCAATATATATATTTTTCAACTTTTGCATTACTATAAGAGATTGTTTTGATACCTCGTTTGATAAAATATTCTAGTTTGAAATTCACATGTTTATGACAATTATTTTAATAAATACGACTACAAAAGTTGAACATTACACAGTCAAGGTTCTATATTATGGTCGAGGTTATAGTATAGTATAATACATGAAAAAATTAATTAGTTACCTTTGACGCTTATACAGTCTTTAGTGGTGAAAGGTACGCCCAAAAACGGTTTTTCTTTAGCTAAAACTTCTTCAGATACCGTTCCAGATCTTACACGTTCGTCCGCTTCTTGAGCTTCCTTTTTGGCCTCATCAAATCGATCGGCCACGACACAATTCAGTACTGGATTCACTTCTTTTATTCTTTCTATGAAGGAGTCGAGGACTTGTTCACTAGTGATCTGGAAGAATAACACAAAGCCATTATTTTTTTGCCAATAATAGATCCATTATACATATAATAATGATAGCCTGGTTTATATTTGTTCCACAATTGGAAGTAGTTAGTATTATGACGAGGAAAATTTTGTGAAGCAATTGCCATATTGGTTTTGGTGACTGTGAAGATAACACCAAATACCATATAACCAATTGGTGAAAAGGTCTTCGTAGGTAATTTCCTTTGCGTTATTTTATCTATATGATTTGTTCCGTTGGCGCCAGTTTAGCGATAAGACATATAGGCACGTTGTGGAGTGAAAATTAATCCAGAAAATCTGTTAAATCAGTGCAATTTATAAAGAGAAAACTTTAATCCAGCCAGTAAGAGTACAACACCTTCATTTTCACACCTCCTTAACCCATCCTTGCATAGTTTGTTTTTCCGTTCTGCTTTTCCATTTAAATTCACCTCAATGAGTGCTTAGTCATACAAAAACATAATTTTCAACAAAAAATCAATAGGTATATCGAGTAAGTGATAATGAGCCTTTCATCGTCCTTATTCAATCAAAAATTACAGAGAATGATCTATCCAAAATCCATCCAATAAAACTTGGTGGGGGGCCTTAAAGAGAGCAAAGATTGAAGAGTTACATAAAATTGCGGGAAAAGGTAGAAACCGACAGCTAAGGGGGCGAATGATTTTCTGAAATCCAACTTTTGTATAAATGAAAATCTCGAGGAAAATCTAGAAGCTATCATACCAGCAAGTTTAGTTAGCTGCAGAGGTGTTATTAACGAAATTCCAATAGATATAACAGCGGAAGACTTTGTGAATACAGTAGAATTAAAGTTATTTCAGCAAGACAGATTGATCAAAGGAAAAGGAATGATGAAGGGCAAATTGAATTAATAAATAGTTAATTTTGAAGGTATGAAACTCCCAAAACAGGTTGTAATTGATTACTATTGGCCACATACATATACAGGGTGATTTACTTAGCCCGTGCATTAGCTTGCAGGTGGATTAGATGCTATCTCTATTATTCCACCTGCAATTCAATTGAATTCTAATCCACGGGCTACGACAATCACGGTGTATATACAGGGTAGTCCATCAAGTGCGCCTCGGTCAATAGTAACCAAACCGTTGAACTTATGGAAAAATTTTCTGTATAAAAGTTTCAGCATTTCATCTCTGCCATAACCCAAAATTATTTTCAAGTGTACAGGGTGTCTCAAAAAAGAGTAATCACAAATTTTATGTTTTTTTTTTTTTTTAATGGAATACTGTATGTTTTTATGTGGCAAATGAAGCCTGTATATGCTCTGTATTCAACTTTAAAATCGTGTTTGGGTTAAATGCAGCGTTGCCAAGATTTTTTGAAGAAAAAAATTGACAAATGTTTTGGACACCCTGTATACTTAAATCGAAAAATTAAGATAATGTAGGAGCAACTAGGCTAACATTAGATTACATGTAAATTTTTAAGGGAAATTAATGTACAGGGTGGCCCATTTTCGATGTTTTAATGGGCTAGGTATATCAAAAACCAGCAGAGATATCAAAAATCTGGGAGCACATTGTCATTCTCGAGCTCTTTGTCTGGGAAAATAACAATGGCGAAGACAAATCACGGCTAACTTGATGCGTTTAGGAAATACAGGGCACTTTTCAAATTTTGTCCAATTTTAAAAGACTCTCTAATTTCCTTATTATTCAAGATATCTAAAAACGAAAAATACTTTCTATAGGCAGTTTTTCAAGTAGAATCCAGTGGCATGACCAATTTTTTACCAGATGCCACCGATTTTGGAATATTGACCAAAGTTGCGTTTTTTAAAATAGAACACCCCGTATATTATATTTTCATTGAATAGCTCTTTGTGAGCCTATTTCAATGATATAAGGTTTTATACCTTTACCTTCAATAGTTTTGGAGAAAAAAAATAAATTCCGTTTTTTCCATAAGAAACAGTGAGTTAGAAAGAGATAGTTGAACTATGAATAGGCTACAAATTTCTTAATTCTTAATTTAATTTTTCAGTTCAGCTAATTTTTTTTTAATTTGAACTATGACTCCGGGATGATAAATAGGCAACACATAATTTATTTAATAATTTATCTATACAGAACATTTTTCCATAAGTTCAACGTTTTGGCTACTATTGATCGAGGCGCGTTTGTTGGACTACCCTGTATACAGGTCCCAACTATTTCATAGGGACAGTATTGCTATCTTGGGAATGGTTAAAGCTACGAAGGCGTTTAAATTAAAAAAAAGCTGTCATTTTTGAAGAATAGTAATGTTATTTTCGTTGTTGCAAAATGTCTATTAATTTCGCAAATACAGGGTGATTTTTGAAAATTTGCAAAAACAATTTTATCAAATATTTTAAAATCTATTGATTTTAGAGACATAGTTCGAATTCAAAAGTATTATATTTTTAACATTCTTCAAAAATGGCAACTTTTTTCTAATTTAAACGACCTCGTAACTTTAACCATTCTCGAGATAGCAACAAAGAAATAGCAATCAATGCTGACCCTGTATATCCCACCAGTTCTACAATGCAGACGCTGTTTAACATTTGGACACTTTGAACAATCATGTAACGAAATCTACAAGCAAATGTACAGAGAAGAACATAGAGCATGACAGTGAGTAGCCGATATGTACAGGAAAAAGAGGAGTTCCCTAAACTACCAAACCGTGACGCTAGCAGGGAAAATGTTATTGAAGCCCAAGAAAGTAGAGAGTATATAGGAGAACACCACTATACTATTAAACAGTTAGAATCCCAAAAAGAAAAACACAACCAAATTCAAATCCACCAACAAACAAAAATGCATTCAAAGAAGTAACTTTCCCATCACCAGCAAGGGGTGTCAGTTTACCGACGCCCATCTATACTTTCCTAGAACGGAACAGGCAATGGGTTGATTATGATGCTGATAAAATAAAACGACAATTACTCAACTTCTACCAAATCTATAATGAAGACCCTCCTTACTGGCAAAGAAAACCAACACCAGCAATAATGGAGGGATTTGATATGCTTCAATATCATGACATTATGTTCAAAGACACAAAAGTACTATGGTATAACTGCCCATACGACATTCAAACCGGGATTCAAACCAAAAAAATCCAGTTCACAAAAACAAATTTGTTTAAAAACAGTAATAACATCAAAGAATTCAATCCCATTTCTGCAACTGAACTACTGAACTATATGGCCTCAATATAGCATAGTGGATGCCTAAAATTTGGCATCTGGTATAGGAATATATTGTAAAGAAAATAACACAAACATCTATAGAAGACTGAGGGACAAGACATCAATTTGCCCAGCACAAACATAGGAGACATAATACCAAAGGTTTGGCTCTAGTATCAGACTCACTGAGTGCATTACAGGCTATTACGAGGATGGGAATATGCAGAGAAAGTGACTATATTACCCTAAGTACAAGACGAAGATTTTTGACCGCTAATGTTAAACTACTGTTGATACCATGCTTATGCATATGTAGAAGTTTACCAAATATAAGTCAACATAACACCATCAAGGTACGGGACTCCTTTTACTGAATTATATCAACAGTGTTCTCAGGGGGGTACTGCATGACATCCAATTTATACCCCAGAAAGTACTATGGTTGCCAATTTGTCATCTGGTATAGGAATATATTGTAAAGAAAATAACACAAACATCTATAGAAGACTGAGACAAGACATCAATTTGCACAACAGAAACGCTAGCTATTCGGGAAGCAGTACGATACATAAGAGTACATACTAAAGGTTTGGCTAGCAGCTATCAAAGCATTGAGTTAGCCGGTAATCAATTCTAAGATAGTATGGGAATGTCTATAGAAACTCAATGAGCTGGAAAAGGAAAACAAAGTAACCCTACTCTGGGTTCCAGGATACATAGGAGTCGAGGACAATGAATGCGCAGACGAACTTGCAAAAACGGGAGCGGCCACTTCCTTCACTGCGCCAGAACCATTCTGCGGCGTCGGAAATGCGCACCTCCAAGAAATCCTCAAGAAGGAAGAGAACCGGCTAAGGAACATACAATGACTAGACCAACCAGGACTACGACAGGCCAAATATCTACTGGATAGCTACAACCAAAAAAGATCTGAACTGCTGGTCAACCTTAGCAAGAAAAGTCTCAAAACTCTAACCAAGTTTCTCTCGGGACATTGCAGACTGAATAAGCACCTACATAATCTGGGGTTGGAAGAAGGTAACACTTGCAGATTCTGTGAAGACGGTGAGGAAACACCTCACCATCTTCTACTGAACTGCGGTGCCGTAAGCCGCTAAAGAATGAAGAACCTGGGAAGTCCCCTTATACAGCTGGAAGACATTCCTGCCCAGGAACCGCTAGACATCCTAAAATTCCTAAAGGACCTAAGACTAGAGGGGCTGCTTTAAACAGGAAACCAAAACTTAGCAGCAGACGAAGGGGTACAATAGATCAACCTTGGTCGCAGTGCAACTAACACCTCCAACACATACATACATACATACATACATACATACATACATACATACATACATACATACATACATACATACATACATACATACATACATACATACATACATACATACATACAAAGGTTTGGCTATAGTATCGGACTCACTGAGTGCATTACAGGCTATTGCGAGGATGGGAATATGCAGAGAAAGTGACTATATTACCCTGAGTACAAGACGAGAACTTTTGACCGCTAATGTTAAATTACTGTTGATACCATCACATATAAGCATAGGAGGCTTAAAGGGAAGATGTTTACCGAATATAAGTCAACAAAACACCAAACAATAGGTACTCGACTCTTTTTACTGATCAAAGACCATTTGTGGCGAAAGTGGACTGAATTATGTCAAGAGTGGTCCCAGGGGGGTACTGCATGACAGCTCATGTGGACAACCTTAGCGCTAAGCTGTCCAAAATTACATTTCTGATAAGGAAACTTTCGAGGAGTATTTCTTCTTCC